TCCCTGTCCACAGGAAGGGCAGAAATAGGGAAATGACACAAATAACCATTATATAAGGAAACATGGAAATTGGGAAGGACCCACAGGAGAGGCATAAAAACATGAAGTGCAGCTGGGAGTTTGAAGGTAGGAGCGTTTTGTCCAAAGGAGGTAGGATCAGGAAAGACTCAGGGGAGGAGGGAACATCTTCACACCCCCCACAACAGAGCCAGGGCTGAATTATGCCCAGGTGGCACCCGTTATCTGTTCCATTTCTCAGGCGTGGAGAGGGAACAGACTGGTCTGGCATTGTGAAGGTTTGTTCAGCCTTCTCTGAGTGGACCTTCCACTCCTGGGGTGGGTGAGAAAAGGTCTCCACGAAGGGGCTGCCCCAGTTACCTTCAAGATTGATGAAGAGGAGCTATTAATGGCCCTTTGATACATGGCCCCTGGGCATGGGATCTGGTGAGAAACCTCGGGTCATTGTCCCAACTTTAGCGTTGAAACCATGGCTTTTAAACTTGGGCGGAGTTTCTGAGCTTTAGTTTCCCATCTATCAATAGGAATAATAATAATACACCTGTGTTACCTTGCTCTCAGGTTTGCTGTCAAGCTCAAATGAGACAAGTGAAAGTATCTTGCAAAGCCCAGTATTACGTACCAGTTAAGAAGACAGACTTTGGAGCCCAATGGCCTGGGTTAAGTTCCCCCTGCTGTGTGCATTTGTTGGGTGACCTGGGGCAAGTTACTTAACCTCTCTGTACCTCAGCTTCTTCATCTACAAAATAAGGATGATACTAGGACCTTCATCATAGGGCTGCTGAGGATTGAGGTAAGTGTAAAGAGCTCGGAAGGGCACCTGGAGCATATTAGTACTGCACTGCAGAAAGTGAGCCATCAGCGTTGCTGCTGCGAAGTATCAGACAGGCGGACGACGATTATGACGACTACTTCCTAGGTACAGAAGCAGAGTGTTCTGCTGTGTCTATATGCAGAGGAGCGCACGAGAAGCATTGAGTTCTGCCCTGAACTCCTAATCCAGGCTTTAAAAAAGAGCTATAAAAATGCCATCTAACTGACGAAGTTCTGGAGGGAGAGAGGCGTGCCTCTTGGCCATCCTGAAAAACATCCGCTCCACCCTGGCAATGCTTATCTCTTTGGCTTCTTTCTGGCCAAAGGTTCACACTTGGCATGATCTTATCGTATGTAGAGCTTTGCCCCAGACGTCCCTGGCTGAGGGGCTCTGGCTGGATGGAATGTATTTGAGGGGCAGCTGCAGATGCTGTTTATCGGCCTGAAACGTGGAACCAGCTTGGAGAGAGCAAGACAGGCCAGGCTGACCGCAGATGTGGGCCCCTGTGACCTTCGCACGGAAGACTCAAGAGTCGGATTCCAAGTCCGAAAGTAAGACTACAAAACTTGGGGTGGAATGAGATTCTTTCTTCTTCTTACTCATGCCCCAATATATTGCACCATCTGGCCTTACATCCACCTGAACTACCCCAGCGATTTACAGTGTTCAGTGGGCAGTCCCATGGTCTCTTCTGCTCCTCACAGCCATCCCTGTGGCAGAGGTTGGTATCAATGTCTTCAGAAAAGAAGACTGAGGCACAGAGAAGTTTAGTGACTACCTAGAGGTCACCAGGCTTCATCACTGAAGGAACGAGGATTCCAAGTGGTGTCTCTCATTTTCCAGTCCAGTGTGGTTTCTGCTACAAAAACAGCAACGCATCACCTGCTGCAGCAGGCAGAGCACCCTGAGATTGAAGGGGTATGCTGAGCACTCTGCCAGCGGGAGGGAGAATACCCAGTGCCACAGCTCGGGCAGGGTTAGGGGACAGGTTGTAACGGGGATGCTGGCGTCCTATTTGCTCTGCTAGTTTCCCCAAAATGAAACAATTCCCACAATACAAATATTAACACGGGCCAGGCCTTATAGATCTGCCCTTATTTCCACTGCTAGTTTTAACCCAAGGATGAGAAAATGGGAGAGAGGTGGTTTCAAAGTTTGCATCACCAGCCCTGAGTCAGAAAGAAAATTGGCTGTTTAGGTGTAGACGGTATCTGTTCACTCTCTCTCTGGTGGAATGAATTCAGTTCTGTTTGGGATTTCTGTGTCTTAGCTTCTGGGCACATTCTGACATAGAGGAGACGGTGGTGTATTACAGCTGAGGTATGCTGAGGAATTAATTTGTGGGTTTTACAGTGCTAAAGGTTAAGTGGTTACATACAGACTGTTCTGAACCCCGTATAGTTGAAAATTGGGCGAATCGTAGAAATAGAATACAATCATATTTTTGTCGATTTTTTGCACTCCCCGCTCCCGTCTTAGACACCTTGACCTTATTCTGGCTGCCTAGCTACTAAATAGGCAAATTTGTTTCCGCAAAGGCTGCTTCTTTTAAGGCTGTGCTGCCATCTCCTGGAAAAAGTTGGAATAGCAAGAAATTTGTTAGTGATTAAGGACTTTTACAGGTAGCAGCCGCTTAGAGGTGGTGCTCCTGGAAGTGATGTGGTTGTGCCAGGCTCAACTTGCCTTGGCCTGGTCTATTTCCGATGCTCCTACCGTTTCCTTGATTTTTCAGGACAGACTTCCAAACTTGGTTCTGAGAAACAGGTTGTTGCTGTTGTTATTTTTTTGTAGCCCAATAATTATGTTATTACTAATGATCTTCATCATCTGATGTCAAATCTGAGACAGACTTGATCAAATATTTTGGCAACCTCAGTTTAGATTGATGTGCACTTTCCAGGCATCTTGACTTTGCCTCTGGAGTTTTCTGTGGGGGAATGAATATGTCCTGGTGAGGGGGAGGCACTTAGGGTGGAGCCCCTCACAAAGAACACTTGAGGATACGTTGATCCCAAGGGCAGTGTTCCAAAATGAATAGTGACTCCCATCAGCAGGGCTAGTCCTGAGTGTGAGGGCCACATTTTTCTCTCTGCTCTGTCCCCTACTCTGAATTTGCTGTTAGAAAACAAAGTTAAATACAGATACCAACTCTACTTCCCCACTGTTGTCACTCCCAATTTCTCTTCTATTTTTATTTTTTGAGACAAGATCTTACTCTATTGCCGAGGTAGGGTACAGTGGCATCATCATAGCTCACTGCAACCTCAAACACCTGGGTTCAAGTGATCCTCATACCTCAGCCTCCCGAGTAGCTGGCACTACAGTTGTGCACCGCCACACCCAGATAATTTTTCTATTTTTGTAGAGGTGGGGTCTTGCTATGTTGTTCAAGCTGGTTTCAAACTCCCCGCCTCAAGTGATCCTCCCACCTCAGCCTCCTAAAGTGCTATGACTACAGGTGTGAGCCACTGTGCTCGGCTTCGTCTTTATTTTTTTCAAATTTATTTCTCCGTACTATTTATTAATATCTGACATACTACCATATATATTTTACTTGCTTATTTTTTATTGTCTCTTTCCTTCCACTATGATGTAAGCTCATGAAAGCAGACATGTTTGTCTCTTTTGGTCACTGTGGGGTCCCCCATGGCTAGAACAGTGCCTGCCACCTCGAAGGTAGTAAAAAAGTATTTGTGGGACAAGTGGAGTCCTGGCTTCACTTTCACGTGATTACAGTGTCCATACTTCTCTTTCCTCAGAGTCTGATGGACTTGATGCTTCTGCCTCAGCTTTCTGTGAGGACTTTCTGCAGAGAGCCGAAAGCCCAGAAGATGGCTGTGTCTATGCCTGGCGACAAGGGAAAGGAATGTATGATGCTTACCCTGAGCCTGGCCTGTCTAATCTAATCTCTAGGGGAGTAAATGACTCGAGGGACGCTTTGGAGAGAGTTCAAGAGGTAGGGAACTGGGGAGAAACTAAAGCCAAGACAGCCTAGCGTAAATGCGGGAGGCTTGGCAAAGCCTGAGTGAAGCACAGAATCTAATAAGTGTGGTTTATGCATCTGTGTAAGATTATGTAATAATTATTACAGCTACAATTTACTGAATACCTACTCTGGTCGCAGAGCTCTATTATAAATTGCATTACACACTGTGCAGCTTTGTTTTTCACAATGTCCTTATTTTATACGAGACAATGAAGGCTCAAGGAGCTTACGTAACTCACTCCTGCGAGGAGTGTGCAGCCCCTGAATAGAAAGCATAGACTTAGTTCTGTCCCTGCAGCAGCGAATAGTGGCTAAATACATGTCTTTGAGACAAAAGAGCCTTGGTTTGAGATCTTGTCACTTACTAGTTGCGTGACCTTTGGCAAATTATTTAAACAAGCTCCACTTTCCTCACCTGTAAAATGGGGATAACAGTTGTCTTTAACCTACAAGAGGTAAGGGAAGAATTAAGTAAGAGTGCACGCAGTGCCAGCCCTTTTTGCACTGAATAACTGTGAGCCACGCCTGGGAAGGCGGAACATATTCAGGAAAAGCGGCGAACTGTGATGTTTCTTTTCAGCGCCTTTCCTAGGCTACTCTCCAGACGTCCTAATTACCACCCCAGCAAAAGCTCAGAAATACAAGCGTGCAGGTAACTCCCCCTCCATTACTGGAATTTCTTCCGTCCAGCCTCCGCTGGAACCGGTTAGTGTGAGAGGACCTCCTCATCTCACAAGACAGCTTCGGTTCTGTTCATGGCCCATCTGCCCTCGTTCCCCATCCCGAAGCTGTTGGGTCAGTTTGTTTTCTCCTGGGACACAGTTTCTGGGGCGCGGCATGCTGGGGGTTGGAGTCCGAGCCCTCGCGTTTGCCTCTACAGGGCGGCTTAGCCGAGAGCTGGGGAACTACAACTCCCGGAGTGCTCCGCGCCCCCGGGAAGTCGCGTGTCTGCGGGCGTCATGGGCGCTCCAGAGAGGTCCGCGCCGGGTGCTGGTGCCGTCGGTGAGGGGTTCGGCTCACAACAAGGAGCGCGGAGCTAAGGTGGTTCCGGCACGTGCCGTGGGGCGAGAGAGGCTAGGGCCAGGTATTCCAGGGATGCGGCAATTCTGCGAATCCGAGGTGTAAGCCGGTTTCCCGGGAGCCAGGCCAGCCCAGCCTTTCTTTGCTTTAGATTCGGCCCCTTCGGTTGGCTTCTCCAGGAGTCGAGCTCGCGAGGGGTTGTGGGCGAGGCTGTGGCGCTCTCCGCCTCTCCAGGCCACTCGGCGAATCCCGGCGCCTCCGGACCCGCGGCCACGCTGACGCCTGGGGAGACAGGCCCCGAGCCCGGCCCGGCTATGAAGAGCGACTCCTCGACATCTGCAGCCCCGCTCAGGGGGCCCGGGGGGCCCCTGCGCAGCAGCGAGCCGGTGCGCGCCGCCCCGGCCCGGGCGCCGGCCGTGGACCTGCTGGAGGAGGCGGCCGACCTCCTCGTGGTGCACCTGGACTTCCGCGCGGCGCTGCAGGCCTGCGACCGCGCCTGGCGGGGCCTGGCGGAGGAGCCCGCGGGCACGTACGTGCTGGGCGCCGTTCGTGTCGGGGTGCTCTTGGGAAGGGCCTCAAGATCTCAGGATCTCTGTCATTCCTAGATTGCTCACGAGGAATTCCCACCTCGCTTTCATCAGAGGTTTCTCTCTGAAAGGCCCGTTGCACACATTGTGCCCATTCCCCGGAGGGTGAAACCGAGACACTGTACGATGAAGAAGTGGTCAAGTTGCATAACAGAGCTTAGTGGGAACCCACAGCCAGTTCTTTGTTCCCTGTTCCTGGGTAGAATGACGCGATGGGGAGGTTGAATGTTTATTAAATTAAATTCTGTCTGTAAGCAGGTGGCGGAAGTCCTCTCCTAGGTGAGACCCTCCCACCCCCCAAGTTGTTTACTCTGACTTTGGCTAATGATGGGCAGTGGGGCTCATGGCAGGAGCAGTGTTCTGGTCCTATCAGAGGATTGGATTAACACATTAACTGCCATGTGAGGTGTAGGCTACTCTCCTTTAACTCACGCTAGTTTTAAGCCTAGGGCCTCGTGAAGCATAGGAAGACTCAATTCTCCGAAACAAACTCAGTAAGTATTTGTCAGTCACATACAACTCATTTGGCGTGCAGTGTGAAAACTGATTCTAGCGCCACGTTAGTAGCATATAACTCACGCACAGAAAACAAACAATAACCAATTTTTCGTTAAATTAGAAAAGATAATTTTGTTTTCGAAGTTTTTTATTCTATTTTCGTAGTAAAACACCATGGCCCCAGGGAAAAATATTTTTTTTCTAGTGTGGCAGTGTGTTAAAGAACCCGCAGAAAACCTTGGTCCTCCATTGCTCTTTCTAATGGCACCAGCCTACTTTGGAAGATGATGGCGTTTCTCTGTGGATTGTAAAGTTTGGTTAAGGCCACACTAGGGAGATGGTGGGTAGAATAATCAAAGCTGACCACAGAGAAGGATGAACTGTGTTTTTAGGGGGCTGGGTGTGGGCTTGTTGCAGTGGATGCTGAAGGCTTTGCTTCTGGGTGTCTGGAGAAACCATACTAGGTCGTGCTGAAAGGCCAGTTGTGGGGTTCCTGTACATACCACAGTCAGCCGGACACCTTGCTCCAAGTCTGTTTCTTCGCTAAGCAAACTCTTAGTACCAGCTCTTTTTGACCCACACACCTGTGCTGCACGTTGTTGTTTCCCCCTCAGGATTACCCTTCCTGTTCATTTAAACCTGATTTCATGGATACAGACGTGTGTTTGGCAATAGCTAATTTGTCTCTGAGAGGTTTACAGGAACTTTTAGCTTCCGGGGGAAAGGGCGGTCTGTGAGACCCACCTGAATACTAATGAGAAGGCTGCAGAGTTGGGAGTTGGAGAACGGTCCCAGGGTGGGTGTGGGAATGGAGATGGAGGGGAACCACTTGTAACCCTAATTGGTCTTTCTGCTGACAGTTCCTTGGAAGTGAAATGCTCCCTGTGTGTTGTGGGGATCCAGGCCCTGGCAGAAATGGATCGGTGGCAGGAAGTCCTCTCCTGGGTCCTTCAGTATTACCAGGTCCCTGAAAAGCTACCCCCCAAAGTCCTGGAGCTGTGGTAGGTCCTTGTTGCTGACTCATTGGATCAGTTCAGGGACAAGAGGATTTTCATGTCCTTTGCTAAATCAGGATCTAATACTTCCTCTTTTCCCCTTCCCTACCATTTCCTTCCAAATATAATTCTTTCCCCCCACCTTTTTTCATACCACAAAACAGCAATAAGGATGAGGAAGGAGGAGTTTAGGAGTGGGTAGAGGAAAAGAAGAAGAGAGGGGACACAGGGAGTAGGAGTGAAGTGAGGTGACAGAGGCCAGAGCTGAGAGAGCTGCTTGCTATTTCCCAGGAATTTTTAAAAGAAACCTGCATACTGTTTTTCATAATGGCTGTGCTAACTGACATTCCCACCAACACGATGCCAGGCGTTCCCTTTTCTACACATCCTTGCCAACACTGGTTTTCTTTTGTCTTTTTGATAATGGCCATTCTAACTGGAGTGAAGTGGTATCTCATTGTGATTTTGATTGCATTTCCCTGATGATTAGTAATGTTGAGCATTTTTTCATATACCTGTTAGCCATTTGGTATGTCTTCCACCCCCCAACCCCCCTGTAACTCGCAGTATGGTATATCTTCTTTTGAAAATTGTCTATTAGGGTCATTTGCCCATTTTTTAATCAGGTTTTTTCTTTTGCTGTTAAGTTCCTTATATATTCTCTATATTAGATGTATAATTTGTGTATATTTTCTCCTGTAGGCTGTTTCTTCAATCTGTTAATTGTTTCCTTTGCTGTTAAGTTCCTTATATATTCTCTATATTAGATGTATAATTTGTATATATTTTCTCCTGTAGGCTGTTTCTTCAATCTGTTAATTGTTTCCTTTGCTGTGCAAAAGCTTTTTAGCTTGATGTAATCCTATTTGTCTATTTTTGCTTTTGTTGTCTGTGCTTTGAGGTCTTACTTAAAAATCCTTGCCTAGCCCAGTGTTATAAGGTGTTTCCGCTGTGTTTTTTCCTGGTAGCTTCATAGTTTCAGGTTTTATAATTAAGTCTTTAATACATTTTGAGTAATTTTTTTTTTTTTAATATGGTGAGAGGAAGGGTTCTGGCCTCATTCTTCTGTATGTGGTTACCCATTTTTCCTTGTACCATTTGTCAAAAATCAGTTGGCTGTACGTATGTGAATTTGTTTTTGGTTCTCTATTCTGTTCCTTTGGTCTATGTGTCTGTTTTTATGCCACTACCATGCTGTTTTGGTTATTATAGCTTTGTAGTGTATTTTGCCTTTTATTTATTTATTTCGTATATGCCATATTTACTTACTTCCTGCTTTGTAGTATATTTTGAAGTGAGGTAGTGTGATGCCTTCAGCTTTGTCCTTTTTGCTCGGGATTGCCTTGGCTATTTGGTGTCTTTTGTGGTTCCGTATGAGTTTTAGGATTGTTTTTTCTGTTTCTGTGAAGAATGTCATTGGTATTTTGATAGTGATTACATTGAATCTGTAGGTCACTTTGGGTAGTATGGACATTTTAACAATATTCTTCCAATTTATGAACATGGGATATCTTTCCATATATTGTGTCCTTGAAGAGGACATCAATGTTTTCTTTCTTTCTTTCTTTATTTTTATTGAGGCAGAGTTTTGCTCTGTTGCCCAGGCTAGAGTGCCGTGGCATCATCCTAGCTCACAGCAACCTCAAACTCCTGGGCTCAAGCCATCCTCCTGTTTCAGCCTCCCGAGTAGCTGGGACTACAGGCACGTACCACCACACCTGGCTGATTTTTTCTATTTTTAGTGGAGAGTGGGTCTTGCCCTTGCTCACTCCTGACCTCAAGTGATCCTCCTGCTTTGGCCTCCTAGAGTGCCAGGATTACAGGCATGAACCACCATGCCCGGCCTCATCAGTGTTTTATAGCTTTCTGTGTGGAGATCTTTCACTTCCTTGGTTGAGCTTATTCCAAGGCATCCTTTTTTTTTTTTTTTTGTAGCTATTATAAATGGAATTGTTTTCTTGATGTCTTTTTCAGATAGTGCACTATTAGTATATAGAAACGCTGCTGATTTTTGTACATTGATTTTGCATCCTGTAACTTTACTGAATTCATTATTCTCATAGTCTTTTTGTGGACTCTTTAGGGTTTTCTACATATAAGATCATGTCATCTGTAAACGGGGATGATTTGACTTCTTCCTTTCCAGTTGGGATGCCTTTTATTTCTTTCTGTTGCCTAATTGTTCTAGCTAGGACTTCTAGTACTATGTCAAATGGAAATTGTGAAAGTGGGCATCCTTATCCTATTTCTAATCTTAGAGGAAAAGTGTTCAGCTTTCCCCCATTCAATATGTTAGTGGTGGGTTTGTCATAGGCAGTGCCTCATTCTTAACAATCTTAGCATTCCATAGGGAAGGACTGGGGGACACAGGCGAGGGGTTGGATAGGAGAAGCATAGTGGTTATGAGAAATAAACCAACTGTGGAGCACTGACTCTTCTCTTTTGGGGATTGGGTTATTTGGGGCTGCAGTATTCTTTTATACAGCAAAATGCAAGAGCCTGGAGCTGTGCTGGATGTGGTCAGTGCCTGGCTCCAAGACCCAGCCAACCAGGACCTTCCAGAATATGGGGCCTTGGCAGAACTTCACCTGCAGCGGGTCCTGCTGCCTCTGGGCTGTTTGTCAGAAGCTGAGGAGCTAGTGGTGAGCTCTGCAGCCTTCGGGGAGGAGCAGCAGCTGGATTTACTCCAGACCATTCACACAGCGAGGCAACAACAGAAACAGGAACACTCAGGCGCTAAGGAGGCCCAGAAGCTAAACCAGGAGGGTAAGACATTATCCATCTATGGCCTCTGTAAAGTGGAGTTGTGGGCTTTCCCTACACCTCGGGGTCCATCATGATATTCCTGGGAGTTTGGGAGCAATTCTTTGTATGAGTAACACTCGAATCACGGAATGTGAAGCCTGTTGAGTTGCTCAACAAGGCCAAGTCCAGGCCTCTGAAATTGGCAATGGAAATAGATACTCCATGTGGGGATGTGTTGCTGGGTCTTGTCTCCTGAAAGTCACCTTCCCCTTGGGGTCCTCTGACTAGATTTCTTGCCTGCCTCCACCATGCTGGCCCGGTGTGATGTTACTCCTCCTTTAAATGCTCACCCCAATACAGACACAACAGAGACATGCTGGGGATAACCAACAGAAAATAAGAAACTAGCATGATAGCTTGGTAACTTGACTTTATGTGTTCAGCTTGGGGGCCCCCCATGCCCAGCCTTCTGTCCGGCTCCACTTACTAGAGCTTTGAGTGCTTTCGTCAATGACTGATGTACACCCCTGCCCGTTAGGAGTGCGGTTTGCAAGATGGCTTCTGTAGGGAAAGCACTCCAAGACCCGACACTGTTCGCCTGGCTAGCATTGTATGAGGGTTCCTATGCAGGGGTGGTCTGGGGATTGTTGTGTTATCAGAGGGGACTTTAAAGGTCCTCTACTCCAGACCCTTTTCCTGGTCCCTGAATCCTTTCCTGTTCTCCAAAGTATTTTTCTTTGTGTGCTTCAGAGCACGACCTGCTGAGATAGAATGACTTCTTTGCCAGCAGGTTGTTGTCTCTGGGGAAGACCAGCGGCTGCCCAGGCCCCCTGCCCTGCACTTCCTGGGGAGGCGGGGGTGAGAAAGGGGTTTATGGCAATCCAGGTTGTCTATCAGGAGTGGGCCTCACTGGTTCTTGGGTTGGTTAGTGTTCATGTTTATACTCACAATTCATGATTTGTGAATCCTTTACTGTGTGTATTAAGGGCCCTTCATTTCTCTGCATTGTTGTGATATCAGAACCGTTGCTGTGTATAACTCTGTGCATGCATCTTAGCCCAGAATATAAAGAATGCTATACAATAATGAGACCATTAAAAAAGAAACCAAATATGCCAAGTTTACCCAGCTCATAGTTGTTGTCTGTCAAAGTCCTCTCCTAAGAGATGGTAGTCTAGTGATGTGATCTGTCCTTAAAACATTTTTGAAGCTTTAGAAATTTCCTTTAGAACCACTTTATGAGCTATGTGAGAAAATCATTCTCATTCCCTTTTGCTCAACTCTTTTTTTTTTTTTTTTTTGGGACAGTCTCTCTCTGTTGCCCTGGCTAGAGTGCCGTGGCGTCAGCCTAGCTCACGGCAACCTCAGACTCCTGGGCTCAAGCGATCCTCCTGCCTCAGCCTCCCGAGTAGCGGGGACTGCAGGCATGCGCCACCATGCCCGGCTAATTTTTTCTATCTATGTTTTTAGTTGTCCAGCTAATTTCTTTCTATTTTTAGTAGAGACGGGGTCTCGCTGTTGTTCAGGCTGGTCTCGAACTCCTGACCTCGAGGGATCCTCCCACCTCGGCCTCCCAGAGTGCTAGGATTACAGGCGTGAGCCACCGCACCCGGCCATGCTCAACTCTTATAAGCAAGCTTGGAGCTCAGAATCAGGGAAGCTGATTCCTCTGACTTCCCCTGAAGTTGTCCTCTCTCCCTGGCCAGGTGCTCTCTCTCACAAGTTCCTGTCACTACTGTCGTTGGTTCGCCAGCTTTGGGACTCTGCAGTGAGCCATTTCTTTTCTCTGCCCTTCAAAAAGAGCCTCCTGGCGGCCTTGATCCTCTGTCTCCTGGTGGTGAGATTTGATCCAGGTGAGTGACGGAGCCTCCCTTCCACCCTTCCTGGGATGGGTGCCTGTGGGAGTAGGAGCTCTTCAGCACTCCCCCCAGAGGGCCCTGCTGGGGTTGGAGGTTCCTCCTGTGACATCTCCCCGAGTCACTTCCACAAGGAGGAATTGCCACACCTGAGCAAGAGTTAGCGCCACCTGCAAAGAGAGACCAGTCCTAGAGTCCCTGCGAGCAGCCTGGACAGTCTTTTTTGCCCTGTTGAGCCCTCAACACTGGCTGAGGCATTTGGTCATGTGCTTTTTCTAGGGGTGAATCTAGAACCTCAGAATTAAAAAAAACCTTCCCCTCATCATAATATCTATAAAAGTTGTTAATTCAAGAGTTAATGTCTAGTTAAGTATTAATTCAAGATATATTAAATTGTCAATGAAACACACATACATTTTAGAAAATGTGGAAAATAGAGAAAAGCATAAAGAAGAAAACAGAAACCTGCCACTGTGACGATTATACCTTCAGTCTTTTTCTGCGGATGTAGATATTGTAGGCAGTTGCATGTCGTAAATATGCTTTCAAGCATGGCTTTACATGGCTAAATATTTGAATATATGGAAACTTCCATAACTGATTTAACAACCCCCTGTGGTTGAACATTTCGACTATTCTGTTTTCTGCCTCACTGTGAAGTAGAATTGAGCTCTGTAAGTGGTATTTGGGAACAACCTGGTCATTTCCAGGGGATTAATCCTTCAGGTGCATAAGCACTGACTGGGCCAAGATTAGGTGCTCACTCCTTTAGATTTTTTGCGTGTGTGTTACTCTATGTGAATTATCATCCAATCTCTATTCCTCTCATGAATTTAGACTTAGAATAAAATTACATACCTTTCAAAACCAAAGGGGAAACCACAAACCCTTATCTAGTCCCTTCATTTTCTTTCTTTTTTGGTCGAGAAACCTAAGAACCAGAGAGGTAAAGTGACTAGCCCAGGGTCACACAATTTGTCTATTTTTAAAACGGCCACTTCTTGACTTCGTCTTTAGACCTTCCCTCCTTCCTCATTTCCCTTTCTGCTACTCAGCTTTTCCACATAGCTCAGGGCTGTCCGTTGAACCCCTTTGCTGAACATACAGCAGGAATTCCTTCTGAATAGCTCTGTTTGCTTTATAAAAACGTCACCAGCTAGCTCTCAGAAATGCTAAGGATAGTGGGTGTTCACTCCTGTCTACCCCCTGACTTTCTACTTTGTTCCAGAGACTTGATAAAAATTTAGAAATTCTTTAGTCTCATAAACCCCAGTCTCCTAGTGGGGACAGCATGAGGCCATTTGAGCCTACTGTTTGCAGGGTTGCTCGGAGCTTCTTCCCCAGGGGTCCCCGAACTCAGTGGCAGGCTGGATTCCATGGTGCTGATGCCAGGGAGGGGAGAGCCTGCGCCTGGCCACCATCAGAACTTGGTAGAAAGATATGATGAGTGTAGATTGTCAATAGCTTTTTTAAAAAAAGTAACATTTTTCCCTTTTAAGAAAAAACTATATATTCCCTGCAAAAAAAAAAAAAATTAGTTATTCAAACAAGGAAAACAAACTCAGTAGAATTTTACTTTATTTTGCCTTCAATATAATTAACTTATGATAAAAATAGGTATCAGTAATACTGTCATTTGGCTCCAAATTTAAAAGGTACAAAAAGGTATAACGAAGTGAAAAGTCTCTCTCAAAATTCTTCTCCCTAGCAGCTGCCACTTTTACCAGTTTCTTACAGAGCAAAAAGGCTGAATTAAAACTCAATACGTTTGGATCTTTTTCTTAGCAATTTTAAGGTCACTGTAAAGAAAATATATCCCAGAGAATACATCCTAGAGAAAGCAAAATTCTTATTATTGGGGAGGGTGCAAATTACATTAAGCAACTAAACATGCTTTAAAAAGGCCGTGCCTGATCCCAAGGTGGTGGTGTTTCCAAAGGGTGGGAGCGGATGGGTGGGAGTGGATGGGGAAAGCCGATGGCGGGAGCCGATGGGGGGAGCCGATGGGGGAAGCCGATGGAGGGGAGCCGATGGGGGAAGCCGATGGGGGGGGAGCCGATGGGAGGGAGCGGATGGGGAAAGGCGATGGTGGGGAGCCGATGCAGGGGAGCTACTGGGTGGGAGCCAGCAGAGTGAAGCGGGGAGGAATGTTCACAGCAGTTGTCCCTGTGCCCTGCAGCGTCTCCTTCCTCCCTGCCCTTCCTCTACAAGTTGGCTCAGCTCTTCCGCTGGATCCAGAAGGCCATGTCTTCTCACCTCTACCAGCTCCGCGTCCGGGACTGAGCGGTCTTCCCACGTACCTGGACCTCACCGCCCCTCCTGCCCACTGCCGCAGAAGCAAGGGGGCCCATCCTGCAGCAGTGGGGCCAGCCTGATTCCAGAAAGAGCCCATCTTGTCAGGCGTGCTGTGTCCTGCTGCCTGGGTGCCCTCCCCTTTGCACCCCACTTCGGGTGGCCTTGGTCTGCGATGTGGAAACAGAGTGGGGCTAGAGGGTGCAACTCCTCCAGAACAGCACCCCCTCGCACCCAGAGGCCCCTCACAAAGGAGGGTTTGGGAACAGGGACTGTGTCCCTAAAACATTCCACCTTCTTGGCAAAGGCAAGAGGGTGATTGTTCAGGTCAGGTTGTCGATGGAGCTGGAAGTTCAGAAAAAGCCTGATGGAGTGACCCTTGGCCTTTCACGTCCTTGAAGAACCACCTCTGAGAATGGCCCCACCGGGCAGAACTTTAACTAGCCACAGTGAGATCTGAGAGGGTCTCGTTCTTCTCTCCCGTGCTCCTCTCCACGGAGCAGGTCTAATCATGTAGCAGTACCCAGTTCCCATGGTCCGCAGTGGGCTCGAAGCTGCTTGAGCCCTCTCGCTGTTCAGACTGGGCATGGCTTTCAGAACCACCTGGGGGACTGCTGAAAACAGTGAGCCTGCTCGGCTCGTATCTCGGGGTAAGGTGATCTTGCTGGCTGCCTCTTGGTCTTTAGCTCAGTTTTCCACGTTATAAGCAGCCAAGCCCTGCTCTGTTACACTCAGCATCTCTGCCCACTCTTTCCCTCCCTGGTGCCCTGCAGACTTGTCCCAGGCTGTTTGTCCAGGTTCTGCCTGCATCCTTGCCTCCTTGGTGCACACTGCCGCAGGTCCCCTCTTTCTGTGCCCCGTTGTCCTGGTTATGTTCTGTTGTTTGTATAATGCCCAAATTTTTCTGCTCACGTGGCCTTGAAAAGTAGGCCAGCTTACAGGCTGCTGAGCTGAAAATGGAACTGAGTAATCAGGCGAGCTGGGAGGGTGGGGGCAGGGCAGAGGGGAGACATGCATTTTGAAGACAGTGAACGGTAAAACCTCCGGGGAAGAGCAGTGGGGCCTTAGCATTTGAGGAGTTGAAATGCTTCAGTGTTTTTTTTCTCACTAGCCACAGAACCTTACATGTTTCTGTGCAAGTAAACGTACAGCGCTACTGTGCTGTCAGGACTGTGAAAGGCTTCCAGCAGGGCCAACCTGTCTGTAGCCAGAGGCCAAGCAAGCCGCCCCGTACTGGGACCTCAGTCAGTGACGATGCCACAAATATGGGGGATACTTGCTCGCTTTTCAGTGGTTGATTTTCAGAAGTTGCCAGCCAACAATGTCTCTTTAGAAAAATGAATAAAGTACATAAACTTCACTGGCCCTTATAATTAAATCCCTAGGGCATGGTCCAACTCTGTAGGAAACAAATCTATGCTTTTTTATATCAGCCTTTAAATAGAGCTTAGAACCCTGGGGAGAGAAAGGGAGTCAGGTAAGATTTGAAATCCCTCCTACGGAATGATTTCTTAAAATGAAAATCTGGTCCCATTCACTCACTGTTCATACTGGGCACAGCTTCCCTTGGCCCACAGGATAAAATCCAGATTCTCCTCATGGAATTTCAGGCCCTTATGTACGGGTTTTGTCTGGCCCCTCCACTGTGATGGGAGGCCTCTGCTCGGCCAGTCGGTTTCCCGAGCACCGCGTGCTCCCTCGGGCCTCTGTGCCTTAGCTCACGCTGTTCCTGCTCTTGGCATAGGGAGCTCCTCGACCTTCCAGACTTACTCAGGGAATCCTTTCCGACCCTTCCAGGCCACTGTTTTACATCCCTTTTTTGGTAGTGACCCCGTGGACTTAAAATTGTGTGAACTTCATTGTTGCCTCCAGTAACAGTGAGCTCTTTGAAGTTGGGGAGTGTGGCTGTCGCGGCGTGTAAGTCCCGTTCAGATCCTGCTCTCACACGTGTGACTGTTGGAGAGTGGTTTGCCCTTCTCAGCCTCAGTGTCCTCATCTGTAAGTTCTTGTCTCAGGAACTCGTGGGTGCGTCAGCGAAATCGTGCTTATGACGATCAGAGTGGAGGGGTTAGACAGAACTGGTACATAAGGGCCCTAAATTCCATGAAGAGAATCTGGATTTTATCCTGTGGGCCATGGGAAGCTGTGCCCAGCATGAACAGTGAGTGAGCCCCAAGTAAGAGCTCTCATGAGTGGTTGTGTCCCCAGTGCCAGCTGAGTGCCCAGGAGGTGGAAGGTGCTCAGAGGGGTTTAAGGGAGTGGATTGATACAACCGACATGACGAGTTCTGTGTACTCCTGGTGAGCTTGTGCGGTTTTCTGTTGTGCAACCCTGAACATAAAAAGGACCTGATTATGCCCAACTCACTTTTCTGCTCTCCCCTGGAGTTCGCCAGTGCTGATCTGCTGCAGGTGCTTCGGCTTCTGTTTTAGGTGTGTCCAGAACTCTGCCGTGCTGTCTGGCAACCAGCCCCAGCTCCCTGCCTAGTCGGCGAGGAACTCAGAACCCAAACTGCCCTGTACCTTGACCTTTTCGAAGGATGTAGGCTGCTGCTCAAATCAGTCTTCAGCCCTGGGCTTCAAGAGGTCAGAAGCCAAGGGAGGGCTTCCCAGCTGGACTCACACGCGCACCGTCCAATATGGTAGCCATTCATCAAATGCGGCTTTTGAGCACTTGACGTGAGGCTGGTCCAAGTTGAGATTCTGCAAATGTAAAGTACACACTTAGATTTTGAAGTCTTAGTGCTAAAAAATAAAAGGAAACTCAGTAATTTTTTATATTGATCGTATGTTGAAATGATATTTTGCATATACTGGGTTAAATAAAATCTATTATTAAAATTAATTTCATCTGTTTCTTTTTACTTTTTTAGTGTTGCTCCCAGATTGTTTAAAATTACCTATGTGGCTCACATTATACTTCTGTTGGACAAGGCTGTTCGGCACACGCGACACACGTTGGTGGGTGAGTTCAGAGGGGGTTGGAGGTCAGTGGAGCAGCACCGCACGGTGGGATTTTGCAAGATGTGAGATCTGGAAAGATCATCTATTGCAGATCATATACTATTTCATTGAGGAAATTAAGTCCCTGAGAGGTGAAGTGATTTGCCTCAGGTCACACAGCCTGAATAAGACCAAGTTCTCCTGACCCTCAGGTCTAGTAGTGTTCATTTCGCTACACCTTGATTCTGCCTCACTTGCCCTAAAAATCCTCACTTTTCTGTCACTCCTTGGCCGAAGTCCACTCTTAGTATGCCGACGCATCTGGGAGGGGTAACTCCGGTTGAAATAGTTCATTAGTTCTACAGGGTCTGAAGAATGCAACATAGAACAGATATTTTAAAGTTTAGGGGTGCCGAGGAAAGCAGGAACTGGTAATCCTCTTGTTCTGTGGTCAGATGGGGGGCTGGTGGGGGGTGAAAGGGAGAGGAGAAATTAGGCTACCGTGGGCGAGCACAGGGGCGGAGGTGGGTGGGCAGCCGAACAGATGGAGCCTGGAGGAGGAGGTAGGGTTCTGCTTCTAGAGAAGGGTTGGAAGGGATAGGAGCTAGTTCCTAGCTTCGTGCAGCTGATCCCCACTCTTTTGCATGTATGCGTTTGCATATGTGTGTATGTAGACCATTTAAAAATGTATTCGTTTTACGCATCTGGACCAGAATTCAAAAGTTACAGAAAGGGTACTGCGTGGAAAAGAAAGTCTATTTTTCTACCTCCGTTTTCCATCCCCACTCCTGCCCAGAGGCAACCCCTGTTGCCAATTTGTTTATCCCTCCAGAAATATTCTCTGGTATTAAGCTTTTCTTCCACAAATGACAGCACACTACACACACAGCACACACGGTGCCACGCTTTAAGAAAAACTTCATCAGTCTTGGGTATTTGTTCCCTGTCAGCACATGCAGAGCTGCCTCGTTCTCACAAGCTACGTGTTACTCCATTGCACCGCAGAACACAGGGCATATACCTGGTACCCTTTTCCTTTTTACTATGTTGAGATCTCTCCACCCTTTCCAAAGCCCAGAAGCACAACAACCCCAGGTTTAAGATTAACAGTCATGGTCAGACCTCTTTACTGTTACTTTTGGGCAAACACTAAGCAGGCTGCTCAACCTGCTGGCAATCACCACCACCGTCTTGGGGAGATAAGAGCAGGCCATTGCACACTCTGGACGCTGTTTCTTTCTAAATCTGGAATGGCATTTGGGCAGCTTCTGCCATCCAGTTAAAGCATCCAGAAATGGCAGAAAGGGAAAGGCTTGGCATAAACTGCAAGTAGGGCACCTGCCTGTGACCTCATCTTCTCTTCTCGCTCCTTGCACGGAAAAGCCTCCAGGTTAATGGACTTTGGCCTCTGGGACCCACAGGGGCCTGTTGGAATTCTGATTTCACTCTGGCTTAGGCAAGCTGCCTGTGGCCTGGCCAAGGTCTTCCTCACCTCGCTGTCCTAGCACCTCTTTGGAACGTAATACATGGAGTGTTTACCAGAAAAAAAGTAGGGTCCTTTTGCTTCTCTCCCTCTGGAAACCTCAGTATTTTGACCTGATAAGAAGCTATATTAAAGGCAGTGGGCACAGTGCTTAGGAGCCTGCCAAAGGCCTCCCTGTGCCATTTCTCCAGTGGTGACGTAGGGACCCAGATATTATTTGCCAACCTCTTGATAAAGCAGCAAATTTTTTTTTTTGTCTTAAAGCAACATATATGTATATTAGAAAATATTAGAAATTGCATAGAAGAAAATACTGGACTTATGATCCCACCACTCAGAGATAATCATTGTTAATATTGGTTGATTTTTCTTTCAGGTTTTTGTTTTTTTTTTTTAATTTGCCAACTCTCTTGGCAGCCTGGGCACTTCAGAATCTCTGAAAAGATGGCAGTTTGCAGACAGAATGGTTTACGCATGAGAGAGACCAACAGGCAGCTGGGTGTCCTCTGCTAAAGAGAGTGGAAGTGATCTAGGACAGGGCAGGCTGGGGACTCCTCCTGGAGACATCTCATCCTGGAGGATGGCTGAACGGCCGCAGGTACATGTGGGATTGTGCAGTGCCCATCTCGCCAACAGGGCCAGGTCCAAGCAGGTGGGGTGGGGACTTTATGCCCCACTTCTTTTTTTTTTTTTCGAGGCAGAGTCTCACTCTGTCACCCCAGCTAGAGTGCAGTGATGTCATCACAGCTCACTGCAACTTCCAACTCCTGGGCTCAAGTGATCCTCCTGCCTCAGCCTCCTGAGCAGCTGGGACTACAGGTGAGTGCCACTGCGCTCAGCTGATTATTTTCTGTTTTTAGTAGAGATGGGGTCTCGCTCTTGCTCAGGCTGGTCTCGAACTCCTGAGCTCAAGTGATCCTCCTGCCTTGGCCTCCCAGAGTGCTAGGATTACAGGCGTGAGCCATCGTGCTTGGCCCCACTTCTAACTTTAACGCTGACGCGAGCTCATATCTAGCTCTACATATTTCCCAGCTCATATTTTCCAACAGCCTCTTTAAAACCTTAACATCCTCTTGTCACTTTTGTACCATCCGAGGTGGGGCATGGGAGCATTAGATTAGGTGGGGACTGACAGGCTAGGGTAATAATTCGGAAGGTTGCTTGAAAAAGGAAAGGATTTTTGTAGATGTGTGTCAGCTCGGAAAAAAGCCACTTTAACAACAACATCCGCGTTATTTATATGGAGAGGTTTCTTGGGCAGAAAACGATTTGTATGGTCCTTAGAATGTAACCAACAGGTTCTCACCCTTGGAAAGCTGAAGTTCTGGGAAAGAAGCATTCATACTTTTATGCAGAAGCCTTATTTTCCAAGTGGAGTAGCGCATCCTCCGTCCTTGGCGCCTTGCTCTGTCTCTAACCTCCCTGACTCTGGCTCTGCTTCCTTAGCTAGTTTCTCTTTTTCTGTGGCCTTCAAGCTTGGAGGGAGTGTGCTTTTCTCTTTCTACATGTTTTCTCTCTGCTGAGTTTGTTTGCTTTCATGGATTCAGCTCTCACCTTGACCCAAATGACTCCCAGTCTTGACTCCACCCTGACCTCCCTGAGTCTAATTAAATTGCAACTGCCTACACAGCTTGGACCCAAACCCCCGCCCTTTGTCCCCTAGCCAGACTCCTGGCCTTCCTTCCTACTGCTGGTCAGCTCCGCCCCTAACCCGCTCAGGCCGGGTGCTCTTCCCTGCACGTCGCTTTTCCGTAGTTTGTCCTTCAGATCCTGACGTACCATCGGCCGCGTTTCTGCTTCTGTGAAGCCCCTGCTGGCCACGCCCAATATTAGAAGGACATTTCTATTTTCAGGACTCTTTCTGGCACTTAATAGTCCAACCATTGATTTCACTAAGTCAACAGACATTTGTTTTGTTCTTTAACTGTTTTGAGAGGCCATATCTTATCTCTCCGACTGGATGAAAGCCTTTTGTGTGGGGAGGGGACCATGTCAAAGAGTAATAATAGCAGCTAACATTTCTAAGGTATTTGCTGTGTGCCAGGCACCTGGGAACTTTACATATATTAACTAATGGATCTTGTAACAAGTCAATGAGGTAGGTGTTACTGTCTCTATTTTAGAGATGACAAAACAGACACAGTGTGGCTACGCAACTTGCCCACCGTCCCACAGCTATTAGGTGGTGGAGCTGGGATTTGAACCCAGGCAGACTGGCACCAGAGTTCCCCCCTCCCCCTGTAGCACCTAGAATGAAGCCATTCGTATAAGAGACCGTGTAATAAAGATTTGTTGAGTGAACTTGGATTTTGGCCTTGGGAATTAGGAAGGAAGAAATAGAAGCAACAGAAGTTGATGAGCAACGAAGGCCAGTGTCAGGGCTGAAGGGTGGGGGTGGGGGAGGTGAGGACACTGCAGCCTTGGCATCTGTCTTAGCCGTAGCTTTGCTCAGCTCGCTGCAGAGGGAAAGAGCAGGAGGCGTTCCTTCTCAAATGTACCAGCCTGGCGGGTGTCCTTCCATGCAGGTATGAATACAAGCTGGTGGCTCCGTCAGATGACTCCACAGATAAGCTGTGCCCTTGGTTACCAGTGGCCTTAGCTGAGTCCCAAGGAAAGGGCTGCTTTCTGTGAAAGGAAGCCACTTGCATCTTTGACCCCTGCCAAAGTGTTGTCTGG